AGGTTTCATAATCCTGAATCATGATTGGAGTAATACAACTTAAACTTTAAACTAGGTTTAGTTTAAAGTTTAAGTTGTATTACTCCAATCATGATTCAGGATTATGAAACCTAGTTTAAAGTTTAAGTTGTATTACTCCAATCATGATTCAGGATTATGAAACCTAGTTTAAAGTTTAAGTTGTATTACTCCAATCATGATTCAGGATTATGAAGGTTCATCACTGCTGGACCCTGACTGGAAGAGCACATCTTAAACTTTAAACTACAGTTCATTACTGCTGGACCCTGATTGGAGGAACACATCTTAAACTTTAAACTACAGTTCATTACTGATGGACCCTGATTGGAGGAACACATCTTGAATGTTAAAATAAGGTTCATTACTGCTGGACTCTGATTGGAGCAACACATCTTAAACTTTAAACTGAGGTTCATTACTGCTGGACCCTGATTGGAGGAACACATCTTAAATTTTAAACTAAGGTTCATTACTGCTGGACTCTGATTGGAGGAACACATCTTAAACTTTAAACCAGGGTTTATTATTGCTGGATCTTAATTCATGAAGGATTATGAGTAGAGATAAGATTAAAGTTAAACATATAGAACAGAGACCTTGAAAATCAACTAAAGACACAGACATAACAACAGAAGACAGCTTACATAAACTGAATGGTAACACAGTAACATGAATGTTTGGTGCTCAAAAACTGATTGCTATAAAAGATGTAATAAATTAATATAAGTCCTTTGATATTATGTCGATCAGACATTAAAAGATGGTTTTGGGAAAATATAAATAGTTTCTTAAGGTAATCTGTATTTCTGTATTAATTTATGTGTAGTCGTTTATGTTCCGCCTTTCAGTTAAACAGTTTTTCAAACAGAATTAAGAAACTATGACCATGTTGAGGTAAAAGTACCTGTAAAGCTGTAGCTACACAGAAAACAACAATACAAACCCAATGAAGGAGTTGACACTTTTACCACTTTGTTCATTTAAAATGTCTGAAAACTGGATTACGATCTATCTTAACAAAGAGTCCCTGCTCTCACAGTCACATTAACATGAAAACTAAACTATAATCAACTGACTGAGTGCATTAAAGGTCCAAGAGCTAAGGCACTGTCCACACACCTCCCAGTTACAACGATGTCTGCCCCACGTTCCAAAGCTCGGGCTATTGGTCCGGCACTGAAATATAACATAATGGCTCATCTCAGTAACATAGTAATGTGACAAAAAAATAACTCCTACACATACAAACAAATACAAGTACACAGAAGTTTTTAAACAGCCAGTGCTAAACAGTTTTCTCTATATTTATGTACTTCAACCTTCACTACACATTAGGTAAACCCGGAAGACAGCAACAAATTGTGAATTTCCTTACTTCTTTTGCTGTAAAATCTAAACAGGTAATCCCAAAGATGAACTAAATAAACATTATTATGTCAACTATGATATATTTTTCATTGTTGGCCCAATCAGATGTTACATGTTTCTTACTGTTGGATCAAAATATGTTTTTCATTGCTCACAAAAGTTTTACACTATCTATAATTGAGAGTTATAATTTTCCTATTTACCATTCAGTGGTGCCCTCTATATGCAAACATTTTCTTTACGCATGCCACAAGCCTTGCACTTCCCTGTTGGAATTAGTACATTCCAACATGTCTCTCATGCAAATCATCATGCATCATCTATTAATCAATAGTAGCACAGTATGCTCACATGACACATATAACTCCCTCTACACTCCTCTACTGAACATTCACTTCGAAGTTTGGCAGAAGGTGTGATCTCTGGAGTACTTATCAGAAAGACATTTTCAGTATAGGAAAATTATAACTTCTGATATGGTACTTACCTCTACTCACAAGATTAGCTAGAATCCCACGTTGAGGAGTATAGGAAAATTATAACTTCTGATATGATACTTACCTCTACTCACAAGATTAGCTAGAATCCCACATTGATGAGTACAGGAAAATTATAACTTCTGATATGGTACTTACCTCTACTCACAAGATTAGCTAGAATCCCATGTTGAGGAGTACAGGAAAATTATAACTTCTGATATGGTACTTACCTCTACTCACAAGATTAGCTAGAATCCCACGTTGAGGAGTACAGGAAAATTATAACTTCTGATATGGTACTTACCTCTACTCACAAGATTAGCTAGAATCCCACATTGAGGAGGAGGAAGGACCGGTGCGAGGGAATAACAGAAGCACCCCTGAAAGCATCTGAAGGATATCCCTGACCATGAGAGAAAGAGATCCAGAGATCAGAGGAGGGGAACCACACCACTTCTGAGCCAGGTATACTCTTCATCCTTGTGTGTAATTCGTAAAATACATGGGCAGAAATTGTGATGTGTAGAGTGGCTAGGGAGAGTCAGACCGTATTCAGCAAGTCAACTATATCCAAAACCTCCTCTACAGAGTAGCGACATCCACACAAGGCTAGGATGAGGATCATACCATGTTCACTTACAACCCGGAATTGGAGATTAAGACCCGCTCCAATTCCTGAGTACTACACAAGGATCAACACCCTACAGCAAACAGGGACTGGGCATCCAGCATCGAGAGGATGGATTCAACTTTGTGTAAGGACTTATATTGATTGGTTCACTTGAATCCAACACCTCAATGCTGGGAACTAATGTCCACACGAAGGTAGGATGAAGGCTCCTAATCAAAAGGGGTGAACTGCATGTGCAACTGATCAACTCTGTGTGGTATGGAATGTGTAGCAGGAGGCCATGTCAACCATCAAGGTGATGGATCAACTCAACTGTATGTGTAAATGAATAGTAGGAGGCCATGTCAACCAGTTCGGTTATGGATCGACTCCACAGTAATGGAAATAATATAATGAGGCCACATCAGCTTGTAAAGTGACTGATCAACTCCAATGGTTGTGGATACTACTGAACATGTAAATAGTACAAGTCGGCCACATCATCCAGGAAGGTGACGGATCAACTCCTGTGATAGTGTAAATAGTATCATGAGGCCACGTCTTCCAGCAAGGGGACGGATCAACTCCTGTGGAGGCCACTTAACATCTACACCACCCTACTCTCGACTGAATGGTTATAGCCAATTTGGTAGTGGAACTCATTCAGAAGGGTGCCTCCATGGTCAACCACCCCAGCAGCTTGGAACTGGAAAGTGGCAAGGACTCACATACTCCACTCTAAGAAGGGGGTCAGAATGTGTTGCAGAGTTTGGAGGAACATCATCACCGGAGACAGTGCAATGAGTGACCACAATACCCTATTTTGAATGGCTGCCAATCCCTGGTTTTCTTGGGGACCAGAAAAAGATGGGAATAGAACTCCTACAAGGATGGTGAACCAGTTCGATAGCCCACTGTGAAAGCAAATCCTGAACTGCCTTTGACAAACACTGGTGAGTCACAGGATCTTGAGGAGGAGGAAAGGAAATGGGTGAGGAGAAACAGGAGGCAGGGAAAGAAATGTGAGAAAGAGACCCTCTGAAAGAACCTTTGTCACCCATTGATCCTCAACATAGGAGAGCCAGCGAGGAAGAAAATCCAACAAACAAGCTTCCACAGTACTGTTGATAATGGGTGATACGTCACTGACGACCTCAATGAAAAGAAGTATCCGGATTTGAAGGAACGAGTAAAGGATGGGAAACTGGAATAGGTGGCTTGGAAGGCTCTGGTCATGACAAACAGGCCACAAAAGTTGAAAGGGTGGAATATTGTCAGGAAGATGTTACCCACAGCTCGATATAATCAGAGATGGTGTTAAAGGATATAATGTCAAAGAAAAGGAGCAAGACGTATATCCCTCTGACAAGTGGAGAGTAAATTAACACAAGCCAGAATGGAGTCCTTACTGGTAATGTCCCAACAACAAAGAAACCACGTATGTAATGACAGAGCCTAGGAAGAAATATGGGCCAAAGTGGAATAGAGAAGGTGAAGGGTAACGGCAGAAAATCCCTCAAGATTTCTGGGGAGAGCCTCTGAGAAGAGATCTATACAGATACCAGAGAAGGGTAGTAATGGTAAGACAAAGGCGAGAATATTGGGCACGTGGGAGACTAACATTAGATTCGGGAGCCGCTCCCCAAGGTAATAAGGAACCCAACAACTGGTAATCCAAAAAGGGATATTCTGCCCAATGGTAAGCAAGGGCGTACTGATCAGAGGCTCTCGGGGTCAATGCATACTGATCCCTTCACCTAAATGGAAGAGAAAGTGATTTGCATGGACCCGAATATCAGCAGAAGGAGGAAATACCAAAAGTGGTTGAGAAGAATGCTAATGCAACAAAGAAGGACGAAGGGAATAAGAAATAGGGGAAGAGACAAAACATCACAAACCTGAGATACAAAATCTGTGAAAGTCGAAGAAGGCCAAGGTGAATCCTCAGCCTGAAACTGGGAAGGAACGGCAAACTCGGGAGGAGTAAAAAGACAATCAAAAATGTCATCATGCTAAATAACGTCAGTAATCTCTGAAGGAACTGGAGTGACATCAAGGGAAAAAGGGTGACCCAAGTAGCATTCAATCTCCCAACGAACAAAATCAGAAAGATGCACAGTCCGAATGCCTGCACCCGAGGTACGAGTTAGAAGATTGGTCATTGGTGTGATCCCCAAAGTGGTAACGTTGACTTTCGATTTCATAACTCACGAAAACCACACACAATTGTCTAGTGCAGTGGGAGAAATGTGGTAATGTAAGAAAACAACACTTCAAACAAAATCAAAAATGTGTCACACGGGATGGGCGAAGCACAAAAGAAAATGTCTGTAATCGAAAGCTGCCAAACGAGAAGTTAAGGTTCAGTAGAGGAGTGTAGAGGGAGTCACATGTGACACGTGAGCATACTATGCTACTATTGGTTAATAGATGACGCATGATGATTTTCAGGAGACACACTTTGGAATGTACTAATTCCAACAAAGAGGAGCGCAAGGCTTGTGGCATGTGTAAAGAAAATATTCACATATAGAGAGCGGCACTGAACGAGAATAGCTATTCTTGTTAAAGGAGGTAAGTACCATATTGGAATATGTACTTTAAAATATACACAATATATCAAGTGGTTTATGAAAAGTTTCATTTTAGATACATTTGATACATATTGAAAAACTGAACAAATAATTACCCCAAGTAGGCATTCATACTGTGGAGATTTGACGGAAGTGGGGTTCCTTCACTCATCTCGGTAATTCCTTCTCTTACAAGTTCTTCTTTCTGCATAAAGATGAAAATAGTGATTCATGTATAAAATTAACTTTGTGCAACAGTTATTCTAAATAGTGGTTCATGTATAAAATTAACTTAGTGCAACAGTTATTCTAAATAGTGGTTCATGTATAAAATTAACTTACTGCAACAGTTATTCTAAATAGTGGTTCATGTATAAAATTAACTTACTGCAACAGTTATTCTAAATAGTGGTTCATGTATATGATAGGAAAGGAATAAGCAACAAATTAAGTTTTTATTGAAATTGTATGTCATCTAAAACTGTGTGTGAGAGCACTTCTAAAGAATCAAACAAATCAATCAAAGAATAGAAAAAAAAGAAAGACAAGAATAGTTCACCAAACTCTAACAAAGACAGAAACAGTTCATAACAAAAAACTTTCAATTATTTGAAAGTCCAGATATAAAGTTGTTGTGGAATGGTTTAAGTGATGATTGTGTGTTTGTTATTGGATTGAATTGTTTGAAAGTCCAGATTATACAGTTAATTTTATTTTTAGGTGTTTTTTTCTTCTTTTTTTGTTGTTTGTATCAATTTCTCTCAATCCACTTATAGAACTTAATACTACACATTTTTTTCAATTTTTTATTTCTTCCTGTCAACACAGTTGTGTTTGGTTATTCATTTTGAATTATGAATTCCGAATTCTAAGTTACCACTTCGGAGGTTATATCTTTTTTAAATTTTTTGAGAACTATGTAAATGTTGTATTGATAAGTTATTTACTAAAAACACTGCTGGTTTATAATTATTGGTTTTGAATTTGAGGATTTTTGGTGCCTAGTGTTAAAGATTTAAGATAATTAACTGGTGTCAAAATCATTAGAAATTAAGCCATACATTACATCTCCTAGTATCTAATGTTCATAAGTATAACACATTTTGATCCAGAACAAATATTAAGTACTTTTATTGAAATCGTCAAAGTTTACTCTCAACCATTTTCCAGGATCTTGGATTTACCCCAGATTTTGTACATTCTGCTCTCAAACCAAATATTAATGAAATTAAAAGACAAGGAATTCGGGTTGTCAGTAATGCTGGAGGAATCAACCCTTTTAGTTGTGCTTCGGCCCTTCAGCAAGTGATCAAGAAGGCGGGAGTGGATCTAAAGGTTGCCGTGGTCACTGGAGATGATTTAATGGGCAAGGTTAGTGAGAAACTTGATATGAGAGCACAAATTAAATATCAGAACATGAGCACTGCCAAACGAGAAGTGATAGGTGGATTAGAGGGAGTCATATGGGTGTGAGTGTCCATGTGGCACTACTAGTGATGGAGGTTTGTCGATTGATAATTTGCATGTGAGAATCAGTTTAAACCATGTGAATAGAGGGGTACATAGAAGTGAAAAGCTTGAGGCATGAGAAAAAAATTTTGTAACAGAGGGCAGCAATGAATGAGAAAAGTTATGTATGTGAGCAGAAGTAAGGTACTTGTCAGAAATACACATTTAAGTTTACAGGGCCGGTGCCAGACTATTTTGTGCCCTAGGCAAGGCCAGCTACTTGCACCCCCCCCCCAAAAAAAATTTTACAACTTACGATTTTTAAGAATAGATGTTTTGTAGTAAAAATAAAAAGAACAAAACTTTTATTATGTTTTTTCTTAAAACAACTAATTTGTATAAAACTATGACCCTTAAAGGTAAGTACTGCACTCGTCTGAGTTTTGTTCCCTAGGCGACTGCCTGGTTGGCCTAACGGCAGCGCCGGTCCTGTAAGTTTACTTGTCGTTATTTTCAATTATCAACCTATTCACCAATACCTGTATATTTAACTCATACACCTTTAAAAATTTTCACCAGATATTTTTAATTCTACGAAACACAAATCTCCTACTATAGCTAAAACTTACAGGTGACTTTTGTTTGGCAGCTGCTAATAAAGACATTGTAATCTCTGACAGATAATCAAAGACCAAGAAATCCAATTTCCCATGGTGAACCAACTGGGGCACTGTAAATAAAGAAGTGAAAGAACCTTAAAACATAGAACAGTAAATAAAGATGTGAAGCTAACAATTATCTCTTCTAGTTAAAACCTTTGTACTCGGTTGCTGCTTGATGTAGGTTACTAAGTCTTTAAAAAAATTGCATGTGGAGGATATGAAACAAAATATTTTTTTTAGGTTTTATATATATACGTTTGAATAAATAAAAAATCATAAATTACTACATTAATACCATAGAATTCCACTATAATTTATCAAACTTAGTAACTAAGATGTATTTGGGTCTAAAAAAATATGAAATGTCGAGCAGACTAAAGACACAACCTACCTCATTGAAATATTGGCTCAAAAGAAAGAAATGCTGCCAAGCTCCTAAAATTGCTAGAAAAGCCACTAAAGGGGACATTCTGAGCTTCCGATTGGTTACTCATGTCATATATAGAAGAAAGTGTATATAAGGGAGCATTTCCAAAAATGGAAAGAGGTGGGCAGGGTGCCACTGTGTTTGATCTATTACATGAGCAATATCTTGGCAAATTGAAAAGAGGCTGTTATTTTATATTCTAGCTTGTCAGTATCGGTTATTTGAGTTTTTAATTCGTACAAAACTGTAGACTTAGTATTTTGACTTCTCAAACATCTAATTTGAACCA